TGTTCAGAGGCCCAGCTCCCCCCCCCAGGCAGCTTAGTGGTATATAGGATGCCCAAGCACTTGGCTACAGAGCCTCCTCCCTGCTCAAGGCAAGACAAAAAGGGTTCCAGGCACTAGCTGCTTTCTTTCCTGAGTGCTTCAGTCTCAGAGACAAAAAATTGGGGGCTGGAAACTGACCTTATGTGTGAAAGCCCTGGGGTTGCTTTCAGGGTCACTTAGGCCCATGCTGAAAGCTTTTGACCCTGACAAGGAAGTGGCTCCCTGACCCTTGACCCTGCAGCACCCTCTAGTGCTGTAAATGAGTGAAGGGATCTGGGCTTCCAGTAATGGGGAAGGAGCCAGAGTGAGTCTGGGGAGTGACATGGTTGCAGTCCAGCAATCATTTCTTTTCAGCATAGCAAGTGAGGAGGGTCTGGAACACGAGAACCCCAACTTCAGTCTCCCTGTCTCCTCACAGGTCCAGGTCCTACTCTACTACCTGCAGCACCCCCCCATTTCCTTCGCAGAACTGAAGCGGAACACACTGTACTTCTCCACAGACGTGTAGCCTGGGGTGGGCAGCTGTGGGGGTGGCCAGAGCCAGCCCTCCAGCCAGGGCCCAACATAGACTTGAAAGACTGCAACAGAAACTCCCCAGCCTAGCACTCTAGAGTCCAAGGGAAGCCACCTTCCAAGAACTGGAACATGTGCATCTTTTGTGCCACCTTGTACAAAGCCAGCTGACCAGCCCCGCCTCCTCACCACACCCCAGCTCCTACCCTCCATACCTGAGTGTGTCTGATGCTCCGTGCTGTCCAGGAATTGTTTTATGTACATTTGTCATTGCGGAAAAGGTAGTGGCCGAGCTGGTGTGGGCACAGACAGCTTGCTTTGTTCTTTCATTTCTCCCAACACTCACTTTTTGCCTGAGTCCAGTCCAAGGACTTTTACTTTGCGCTGTGTAACTGCTGCCAGCTTCTCCTCTCCTGGCCCTGCTCCCAGATTGCAGCCTCCCTGCAGTGTCTGCCCTCTCCACGTCCCAGCCTGCTGCATGCATGTGCAGCATGGGCTTTTGCTCCATCACTGCAGTTCTGCAGGGGCCCTGGGCAGTGCTGGCCTGTCTGACGTGCTGCGTGCTGCCCTTGGCCTCCTTGCTCTCCACATGTGGAAGGACATCTGCTTTCCTTGCTGTCTGTGCAAATGTTGAACAAGGGGACAGACACACAATCCTCAGCACAGAGCTGGAGAGCTCATTTTTGGAATGTTCTATTTGAGAATTGCCATTTCTGGGGTTTGTTTGTTCTATCTCCTACCTACCGGTATGGCATCTTCAGCTGTTTCTTCTATTGCTGAATTTTCTGTTCCTTTCCCCTGGTGTTCTATTTTCTTTCAGTGTAATGACCCACAAGTGTCCTGCCATCAAGAGAGGTCAGGATTGCACCTGAAGGGTATGGTGGGCACCCAGGCTATGAAGGAACAAGATGGGTGGAGCAGCCAGCAGTGGCAAGTCAAGGGAAGCCAGTCTCCACTGTAAGGACCTGCAGAGGCTATCCTAGTGTACAGCCTCCTGGAGGGCAGCTTCTGTGGCTGAATCAGGTGTCCAGGTGAAAACAGGCTCTGTCCTGGAACCTGGAACCACACATACCTCGTGGTACTTTTGCCTTAGATTTTACACTCTCAACAGCCAAGCACTGCCACGGGGCAGCCACACTGCCATGCGTGCTCCAGAGCCTAGGAACAGCAGATAGAACCCAGTTGGAAAGCTTCTACCCTGGCTTCTAAATTCAGGCCTGTGGGTAATCTCAAGTATACAAGAAATCATGGGGTAGGCTGGCTCTCTTGTGAATGAGTTCTGTTGGGGCTATAGAGCATCGGGTCAGCAGGTGTCATTCCCAGCTCTGACCTACTGCTTGGTACTAAAAATGAGCTTTACTCCCAAAACACCGTTTCCAGTCTGAGTAGGAGCTACTAGCCTGTGGCAATTAGCAGGGAAAGATGCTCCTGTCACAGGGGCTTAAGCTACCATACAGCTTCCTAGATCTATATGGCAGAGTTCATTCTTGGCCCTCAGGATTGGGGAGACCAGCTCTCATTGTGTGTGCTCAGGGCTAAGTCTAAACAAGGGTTTGCTGGCCCCCAAGCTGTTGTTTGCTAGGTGAGGTTAGGTAGGGCTCTTCTGGTCCTGTTCATACCTATTGCCTTTGACAGAACGGTACAGTTTGTTTATGCAGGAGGAAGGAATGCCAACTTCCCAGCTGCCTATTAGCAGTTTAACAAGGAGCCTTGCTGTCTCAAACAGGTGAAAGAAAATGCCGTGCGTGTAAAGATCACATCTGCCACTATCTTGGCGCTCAGGTGCTGGTATGTGGCATTCTTGCTTCCAAAGGATTGACAGTAACAAATTATCAGAGCTTGACTGGAACTGGCTGCAGCTCAAAGCAGTGCCTCCTGCCTCTAGAACAGGGAGTGTAGGCTGCTCAGTGTCAGCTGCTGCAGCCCCAGCTTGCTTAGGCAGTGGAACAGGGAAGCTGGAGGAGCTGAGAACTACTAAAAGATCCTATTGTTTATACATTTCACCCAAAGTGGACAGTCAGGTGCCAAACCTGAACTGAGGTACACCAAGGAAGTATCTGGTGGTTCTCCTGAGACAGGGGCCGTGCAGCCCAGAACCCCCTCACTGCCAGCAGGGCACCAGGAGACAGGGTCCAGGAATCCAGGTATGCCTGTTCTTGCTTGGGCAATGACTGAGGGCTGCCAGCTTCTGCTGACGAGGTAGGATGGGACTCCCAATAAGTTGGTATGGATATATTTTTTTTGTCTCTGTTCTGTTTAAACTTATGTAGATTATTATAAATTGATGTAAACCATGTGAGAGGGAAATGTTAATAAAAAAAAATTGCAAAGCCTCAACATTTGCACAAAACTCAGCCCGGTGGTGTGGTTGTTTGTGTTCTTAGTAGTCCAGGAAAGACCACCAATCTAAATATTTAAATCCTTCCAGCTGCACCCAGATGTGTTTCCAGGAACCTGTTTATCTGTCTAACCTTGCACCTCCCTTCTGACTTTTGGGGACTGTGGCAGTTGAGGGAGAAAGCTGCCTTTTCTCTGTACACATTTCTAAGTCATGGCTACAGTTCACTTCTTGGGATACTCACTATGGGCCCGGTCACCAGCAGGCCTGGAAGAGATGACAGAAGTAGCCCACTGGCCTTCCACTACTTATGTTTTCCTCAAAATTAGCAAGTCTCTTATGGCAGCCTTCTGTTGAAGTTGCTTGTCAGAGACCTGTGTGCCCCCCCGCCCCACCAAGAGCCCACACTCCTTTAGGAGACCCAATAGGATCTGTGTGGGACTTACACCAACTGAAGCCATTGGACACTGTTTATTCTAGAGATCAGGAACAGATGTGTCTGCAAATTGCTGTTTGGTTTATGAGCTCATACTGACCCCCAGCCATCTAAAACAGGAAGCTATTCATCTCCTCTTGATTGAATGGTCCACGTGGACAAGGGTTGGCTTGTTCAACTGATGGCTACTGACAGCTGAGGCTCCTCTTTGCCAAAGTAGTTGTGATGGCAGCATTTCTTGTACTGGGGCTCATGTGAAAGAGCAGCTGGTAAAAGACCTCAGGCACCTGAGCACTTTGACAGGTACCAGGTAGAGTCCATCCTTGTATCACAGTGAACCTAGGTGAAGGATTTACAGACAATATAGGAAGCACTCCTAAGCTTGTTTCCAGAGCTCTGAGGTAGGTTCCACCGAAGCCTTGTGCTTATGAAATAGGGCAGGCGTCATACAGAATCCACTGCAGTTTGGAAGCAGGGAGATTGACTAATTGAGTACTTGCCTAAGCATGCATAGAGCCTTGGAGTCTTTCCTCAGCAAATGAATGAAAAGGATTCAGCAAAGAGCATGAGCCCCGTGCACTCACTCATGCCCGTTCTGAGGAGACTGCAAAAGGTGTTATTCTGGATCTGATATCATTATTCACATACAAATACACACCCAGATGATAATGTTGACGCTGAGTCTTTGAATTCTGCTTAAGGTTGAGTGGAGATGACGAAGAAAACAGAGCAAAGGTGGCAGGGTTACTGTAGAGCGGACTGAGTGCTGGCTGAAGGCAGCCAGGTACAGGCCTTGGCTGAGCCTCCTACACAGCAGACAGGAGGTAAAGACTGAGCCCATTAGTCCCACCTTCACCCACACACCAGACAGTTTGGTGGGACAGCCCAAACATAAAAGGCTCATTTTCTGCCATGGTATAATTAGGCTAAACTGTTGAACAACAGCAGTAACAAAAAACAAACCACCAAAAGCCAAAGAAAAGCTTAATGGAGAACAAAGGTGGTGGTGAACAGGCGTTCGCCATCTGATCTGGGCCAGTAGCTATAGTATGACTCGGCTGGCAGGATGACCACAGCAAGACACGTATGGACCTTTCACCTGGGCTGGGGCCCGAGACCCAGGGCTCAGTAAACTGTAGGCATGACCATCAGGCAACCCAACGCCTTTGAGGAGACAGGAGTTACCAGCCTGCTGCAATACATCCGGGAACGTGACTAGACTTTCTAGGGAGAGGCCCAGCTGTTGGAATGGCTGTGGTAACAAAGATACCACATAGACACATACCATAGACGCTAACAGCAACACTCCCAGAGTTCCTTAGAGGTTTCCTAATCTTTCCATTGGACTTGTCACTCTTTGGGCCAGCTGACATCTTTTGTTGGAGGCGTGAAATCTGAAAAACTAGCTCCTTATAACAGTACATAGGCTTTTTTAAAAAATTGGGTATTTTTGCCTGTATGTATATATGTCTGTGTACCACTCAGGTGCCTGGTGCCCTCAAAGGTCAGAAGAGGACCTTAGATCCCTGGAACTAGATTACAGATGATTGTAAGCCACAATGCAGATGCTGGGAACCAAACCTGGGACCTCTGGTATAGCAGCCAGTGCTACCATTGAGCCATCTCACCAGCCCCCATATACATATTTTTAACAAGGACAGCAAAGATACTAACTCAAATTACATAATTGCCTCCATGACACAAGTTTACTTTGCCCTGCCCTGGAACTCACGATGGATGCCTGCACAGTTTGAAGAAAGAAGAACTTCCTGGCTCTGGGCAAACACTGCCACCTCCCTGCTGACAGCTGGAGAGCTGAGAGAGGTCAGAGCTGAGCAAGGTCAGAGCTGAGCCTAGTTCAAGCTTAATTCTTTAACAGTCCACACATGGCCTACTGATCTGTATACTGCAAGGAGACCATCTGCCATACCATCTGCCCTGAAAAACCTGCTTGGCATTCAGAAGTAGAAAAGTATGGTTGCCCCAATGTCTGGAGAGAGAGCAGCAAGGTGGGTCCTTCACACTACCAACAATCGGCTTCACTCCTGAAACAATGCCAAGTGTGTAGAAACTGCTCCAAAGAACAGCTATGAAGCTGGCTGGTGTCCTCCTTCCTTTCAGGCTATTTCTTTCACCGTAGGTAATAATCGATTGCAGCAGAGAAAGCAGCAAAACCTCCACAACCTATGGCCCCGGCCTTTACTCCGGCTGCAAAACAAACACAGACAGCGTTACCATTGTAATGAGTGCTGGGTTGGGACTGTTCTTGTAGTTTGTATTACAGATGCAAAGAAACCAATTTAAGCACGTTAAATTGCCCAAACTATAATGCCTCATTAAGATTTCAATGAAGCGGGTCTGGAGAGATGGTTCAACGGTTAAGAGTGCTGGCTACTCTTCCCAAGGACCTGGGTTCAATACCCAGCACCTATGTGGCAGTTCATAACTGTCTGTAGGTCCAGTTCCAGGACATCTGGCACCTTCACACAGACATACATGCAGACAAAACACTAATGCACATGAAATAAAAATAAATCATAAGAAAGATCTCAATGGGGCTGGAGAGATGGCTCAGTGGTTAAGAGCACTGACTGCACTTCCAGAGGTCCTGAGTTCAAATCCCAGCAACCACATGGTGGCTCACAACCATCTGTAATGAGATCTGATGCCCTCTTCTGGTGTGCCTGAAGACAGCTACAGTGTATTCATATATAATAAATAAATAAATCTTTAAAAAAAAAAAAAAAAAAGAAGAAAGGTCTCAATGAAGCAACATATACCACCCAAACCAGTGTGCTTCATCTAGCTATACATTTGCTTAGCTTTTCTCATTCCAAACAGTTACTGTTTCCAGTCATATGGAACTAGCCCTTCAGTCAGGAAAGTGGTTAAGGGAAGCAGTCCTTGGAATCAAATGAAAGCATATGGCCTTATACCCTGATCTGTTTATGGAATAAATTCCTGGGAAGGTGATCAAAGCAATCCTGGGGGAGCTGAGCTCACAGCCTTGATGAAGCTACACAATGGAAGACCAAAAGAGAAGCATCTCTGCCAACCAAACATGGCTATGAGGAACTGGTGCAGCTTAAGTGACAGCAAATCACTAGCTCTCAGAAGATGAGAGGCTCTTGCTCTGGGTAGGTCAAGCTGTGAGTGATGGAGAGTGGCTCAGCAATACATACTGCTTCTAGGAGCATTCAAGTACTTGAGGCCAGTGCTACACACTTGAACAGGGACAGGTTGGGGGATGGTTTGTTTCTAGCTGATAACCTAACATTTCTAGGATGTCTGCACCTATCTTTCTTCTGTCTCGTCCTCTTTTATTTATATATATTTTTTGTTTTTCTTTTGTTATTTGAGACAGGGTTTCTCTGTGTAGCCCTGGCTGTCCTGGAACTCGATTTATAGACCATGCTGGCCTCAAAACTCACAGAGATCTGCTTGCCTTTCCACACCGAGTGTGAGAGCAAAGGCATGCACTGCCACCGACCATTATTTTATGTGTATGTGTGTGTACACATGGGTGCCTGAGGAGGCCAGAAAAGGGTGTTAGGTGCTCTGAAGCTGCAGTTACAGGTAGCTGTGAAGGGTTCTGGGAACTAACTCTTAACCTCTGGGCTGAACCACCTCTCCAATCTGCTGCATTGATTTTTTGAGACAAGGTCTCTTGACTCCTCCTGAGCACTGGGCTTACATGTATGTGCCACCAATTCCAGTGTGCACTCAGGTTTCAATTAATAGAAATCTAAGAATCCCCAACGACAGAAAGACACAGCTGTTAAAATTCATATACAGAATTAAAACCAGGCTGGGGCTGTAGCTAAGTATTAGAACTCATGCTTAGTGTTTACAAGGACCTGGGTCTGGTCTGCAGAACTGTAAAACAAACAAACCCCCCGACAACTGTATAAAATCAAGAAAAAAAGATATTCAAGACACTTGAAATGCCATGAAACGAATCTCAGCAGTCTGAAAGTATGGACAGATAGAATGCTCAGGGCCAAGTGACCTAGCTAGGCCTCTGTACTATTCTACATGCAACACAGTACTTACCATGAGAGCGTCATCTCATACATTCAATACAAAAGCTCTTTTTTTCTAGGAAAGATCTGGCTCTGTGGTTAAGTATGGGTAATTTCCCCATCCCAGAGGACTTCTGACACAGCAGGAGACACTTTTAGTTGTCCGATCTGAAGATGCTATGAGCATCTGGCCAAATGCACATGACTCCATTCCACACACCAACAAAGATTTACCTGGGGGGGAAGGGAGCTAGAGAGATGGCTCAGCAATTAAAAGGGTACCTGTTCCTCTCTCAGAAAACACAGGCTTGGTTCCCACCAGTCATATGGCTTATAAGTGTCTGTAGTTCCAGTCGAGGGGACCTGATATCCTCCTCTGGTGCCAGGCACATATGTGAGGTACAGACATATATACAGGCAAAACACCCATTACAAAACAAAGTTTTCTTTAAAAAAAAAAAATTTATGTGGTCCAAAATCTCTAGAGGCCAAGGATGAGAAAGCCTAGCATGGATGGAGACACAAACAAGTCTCCAGAACCGAGTTTACACAGAAGCAGCAGCTGGGATTTATTTGTCAGAGGGAAGAATATCAAGCATCCTTAGAACACTCATGTTGCCGGGCAGTGGTGGCGCACGCCTTTAATCCCAGCACTTGGGAGGCAGAGGCAGGTGGATTTCTGAGTTTGAGGCCAGCCTGGTCTACAGAGTTCCAGGACAGCCAGGGCTACACAGAGAAACCCTGTCTCAAAAAACCAAAAAAAAAAAAAAAAAAAAAAAGAACACTTATGTTGGGAAATGTCAACATCACCACGTTGTCCCAGACCACAAAAGAAAACCACTCGAGAGCTGTTTACTAACCTCTGAAGCCAATGGCTCCGCCAGTGATGCAGCCGCTGATGACGCTGTTCTTCCAGTCCGACTTTCCCCGGTACTGTGGGTGGAGAAATGCTGTTTAGAGCCAGGGAACCGAGCCAGGCAAGGCAACTGAGGAAGAAAGCACAGCGCTCCCAGCTGCCCACTTTACTCAAACCATGATTTCAAAAGGCCATTCCTAAAAGTTGTATGTGCTTATACATGGTTCCTGCAGGGGGCACCAGAGAGCTAAAGCCCAGTCTAGTCAAGTCTACCATTTGGGAAGTAAAATTTCATATGTTCTCCAGTATAATTTTTTGTTTTTGTTTTTGTTTTTCGAGACAGGATTTCTCTGTGTAGCCCTGGCTGTCCTGGAACTCACTCTGTAGACCAGGCTGGCCTCGAACTCAGAAATCCACCTGCCTCTGCCTCTGCCTCCCAAGTGCTGGGATTAAAGGCGTGCGCCACCACCGCCCGGCTTCCAGTATAATTTTAAATCATTAATTACAATGACCTGGATTAAGGATGTGGTCCAGTGGTCGAGCACCTGCCTTACTATGCATGAAGCCCCAAGCTCAATCCCCAGTACCAAATAAATAAGAAACAAAACAACAACAACAACAAAAAACCCCACTTGTCTACAAAAGATTTTTTTAAAAAGCACAAAACCCGAATCATAAATATATAAAAAGTTCACATTAGGGGCTATTTTTTGGATGAACAATACCAATACTTGATATTTTTAATGTTTGTGTTTAGGGGAAGTCTTCCTATCTAGCCCAACCTGGCCCAAATCTCATGATTCTTTGCTTCAGTTCCTGAGTGCTAAAGCTGCAAACACGGACCACAACTAAGGTTTGACATTTCTGATCTGCATTCTGAAGGAACACTGAGAACACTGCTCTTTTATAAGTTGTGCCATGGGCTGGGCATGGTGGCACATGCCTTTAATCCCTGTGCTCAGGAGACAGAGACAGGTGGATCGCTGTGAGTTCTAGGCTTACCTGGTCTATATAGTGAGTTCCAGGCCATCCAGGGTTATACTGTAAGACCCTGTCTCAAAAAAGGAGGGTGTGTGGTTGGAGAGATGGCTTGGTAGTTAAGAGCATTGGCTTCTCTTCCAGAAAGACCCTGGCTCAATTCTCTAGATTTACATGGCAGCTTACAACTGTCATAACTCCAATCCCTAGAGACCAGATTGGCTCTTCTAGCATCCTCAGGCCCCAGGCATACACACAGTGCACATATATACATTCAGGTAAACATTCATACACACAAAAAGATGTCTGAACCTGATTTTTTTTTTAAAAAAAGGTAATTAAAAAGTGTACAACAGCAACAGAAAGGGCTTTCTTAAAAAGCAAGAGGCACTTACGGATTCTACCAGACACTCAGTACACGAAAACATGGCGCCCACGATTGCAAAATTTTTGGCATAGGACATTCCTCTCTGTCCCATGTCTTTCAGGACTTCTTTTGCAGTTGGTGTCCGGTAAGGGTCCTTGGGGTCAAAGCCTACGTTGGTATCAATGCCAGCAGTAAAGATGCCAAACGCACCTCCCAAGACAAACCCTAGAGGCAAGCAGAGTTAAGAGTTCTTTTGCACATTCTCTGGATTACTATTTTGGGATAACTGAAGATGGCCTCTCTGGTCTCTTGGTCTCAATCCCCATCCTGCTTTCCCCACAGTACACAGTTGGAGTCTATCACCCCAACTCCTCTAGGTTTCCTCCTCCTTTCAATTTTCTGCCTTTCAGCTTTAACACTATTCTTCAGCTACCAATGTTGTATATCATCCCTTGACAGTGACAACATTCATACAGTCACTCAGTAAGTAAGTATCATGTACCAGATATTCTGGAATACTCCTTATTTTTCACAATAACTTGTGAGGCAAATGTTATTATCTCTCCTTTCTGGCTTTTTTGTTTGAGACAGGGCCTCACTATGCAATACTGGCTGGCCTGGAACTTGCTATTGTACAACAGGCTAGCTCCAACTCAAGAGATACATCTGCCTCTGCCTCCCAAGTGCTGGGATTAAAGGTATGTGCAACTGCTGTCCAGCTGGCCTCTCTAAAACACACCTTGGAGAGGTTAAGTAACTGCCTCCAAAGTCACATGACTATCAAAAGTGGAATCTTATATTACTGTCAACAAATGACTTGTCTGAGCCTCGGACAATTCTTTGTATGTGGGTGTAGGCTAGAGGTCAATCCTGGAACTATCCACCAATTTCTTTTTGTTGTTGTTGTTTGTTGTTTTTGTTTTTTTTCTTCAAGACAGGATCTCTCTGTGTAACAGCCCTGGCTGTCCTAGAACTCAATATGCAGACCAGGCTGGCCTCAAACTCAAATTCATTCGCCTGCCTCTTCCTCTCCAGTGCTGGGTTTAGAGGTCCTGGTCACCTCACCCAGCCATACTTGGCTTTTTTTCATAGCTGCTGGGTACTGAACTTGGACCTTTATGTTTGCATGACAAGCACTTTACCAACTGAGCTTTCTCCACAGCCATTTCTGTATGATTTCTTCTCAAGATGATCACCTCAAGATTAATGTAAGCTCAATGAAGCTAGACACCTCCTCTCTTAGAATTTCTTGCTTTCCAATCACTCCTGCTCCAAAACTCTCTTTTTTTTTTTTACTACATCTTAAAAATTTTGTTTTGTTTGCTTGTTTGTTTGGGGGATTTTTGCTTGTTTGTTTTGATTTTTGAGTTAGTGTCTCTATTATGTGGCCCTGGCTGTCCTAAAATTCGCTATATAGTCTAGGCTGACCTGGAACTCTGAGATTTGACTGCCTCTTCATCCCTGCTTTTTAAGATTTGAACTCCTGCTATTCGAATTTTTAAAATGTTTTTCATTCTTAGTGAAATTTAAACTCATCTACAAATATACTTAACCTTTTCACCTGCACACTATAAGTATGCTATACATTCTCAAGTCCTCATGTTAATGTCCATCCCAGCCCCACCCCCAACTGTCTAATCACACTGATCTTCATTGGTCTTTTTTGTTTGTTTGTTTGTTTGTTTTATTTTGAGACAGGGTGTCTCTATGTAGCTCTGTCTGTCTGTCTGTCTGTCTCTCTCTCTCTCTCTCTCTCTGTGTCTCTGTCTCCCCGCCCCCCTCACGGTACCTCCACCCCTCAGTGCTGGGGTTAAAGGCCTGGGTCACCACCACCCAGCAATTATTTCCAAGCTCCAAACTTCTGCCTTGAGGACCTTTGTATTTGCAACTACCTATTCGTCTGCAGCATTCTTTTCTCTGGGTCCTAATATTCTCCTTCAGGGCTCCTGTCGCTTTCATCCATATCCCCACTGCCTGGCACATGACGGTTAGATAGTAACAACTTTTTGAACGAACGAACGAAATAAAGAAGGAAAGGAACTACTTAGGAACTTGCAGACCCTGGCTGTGAATGTTAACCCCAGGATCAAGAGAGGCATCTCCGGGTTCAAGGAGCCAGTCCAGGTGCAATCAAGGTCGAGACCTACAGGTTCCTCGCCTCCCAAGCACATGGTTTTAGCATGGAACCCTAAGGCTCTCCAAGCCCTCAACCCCCCCGAGGGCTCCACGAGACTGGCCTCACCTCCTACACAGGCCAGCACAGCCTTGAAGGCGCAACTTTCCATTGCCCTCTCGATCATCTTCTGCTCTTCGGTCTTGGCAGGACTCGGGATCCCACCCAGGCTGCCAGGCTCCAGAAGCCGGGGCTGACGCTTGTCGCCCACCAAGTACTGAAGTAGAAGGCTGTACTGCAACGGAGCTTCGGCGGAACCCATCGCCTCAGGAGCTGAACCCCCGGCCTTGGGGGCGGTAGCCGCCATGACCTCAGGGGCTCTAGTACCTTTCACGTCGTATTTCCCACAGCCGATTCCACACGCTTACCTAGGAGTCCAGCCAGCGTGACGACAACGGCAGATTCGCCACAGTGAAGATGTTGAAGCAAGAGTCGGCCTGTACATCAGCGTCGAGGAAACTATCATGTTTCCTCAAAGCCTCTTTAGATTGTGAGCCAAGTTTATGAAGTATTGCTAAAAGCGCTGACAAGATTCAGTATCTCAAGAGCACCCCTCAATTAGGGGCTCCATTGAGGTCCGTGCCGGGATTTGTAGTTCTAACTCGAATGTCCGACTACATTTCCCAGAAAGCTGTGCGTGCTCGATGGCCTTGCTACTTCCTTTGAAAGCTCTTTTGAGAAGCATCCAAAGAGCAATCAGGCTCCCGCTAGGCTGCAGTTCGTTAAACTTGCAGCAGGGGACGCGCGTGTCCGCTTTGTTGCTAGGCCATGCAACAGTGATCCAGCTACCTCAATCACTAGAACCACAGGCTAGTTGGTGCTCTGGGGCGCGCTTTGTAAGTAAGTGTTGAAACATGGCATAAATGTGTTCAAAAGGTATTTTATTACATAGTTATTAAGCCTTTAAGGATAAAGAAGGGGACCAAAAAATGAACTGAGTGGTGGTCTAGCATACCTTAAATCCAAGCATTCAGAAGGCAGAGGCAGACAAGATCTCTGAGTTTAAGGCCAGCCTGGTCTACAGAGTGAGTTCCAGGGCAGCCAGGGCTACACAGAGAAACCATGCGTAAGAAAAATAAGAGACGGTGGGGGTGGAGAGCAAGCTGAGCACAGAGTGCTCAGGTACTAATAAGGTACTAATTGGTACCTTTAAGGTACCCAATTGAATACCATAAGGTACTAATTGAATACGGCTATGAAGAAAATGTCAAAGCCCTATGGCTGGTAGAAGGTATGTGCCAACAGATACTGCTTAGCTGAACACAGTGGGTGTTGGACCAGTGACTTTATTTTTAGATTTTATTTATTTTAAATTAATTCAAACGAATCTTTATCTGAATGTATGTCTGTGCACCAAGGGCATGTAGTACCTAGGAGGCCAGAAGATGGCATTAGATCTCCTGGGACTGGAGTTAACACATGGTGTGTGGGAATTGAGACTTGAACTCTGGATCTCCAGAAGAAGAGCCGCCAGTCCTCTCAACTGCTGATTCATTTCTCCAGATCCTGGACAGATGACTTTGTAATTAAGGGGATTTGATTAATGTCCTCCAACAGCAGAGGGTAGCACGGAGCTACAGGTGAAGTTAGAACTTCTTTTGCCCCACCCCCCATAACTGCACTTCCTGTTTCCTGTCTAGGCAAATCACTCTCTTGCTTACATGCACAACTGTCTTTTGAGCCCATCCCTTTGCTCTGATGTTCACTGCCATGGAAGTTGTGTTATCCCCCATCATTTCTCAGGCATTAGACCAATAACTAATCTCTTGCCTCCTGCCCAACTCTTCAAATCCTCCACAGAAGCATCTTTGAGCACCCAAGTGAAATGCATCTTCTGCTTCAGATCCTTTGCTGTGCCAGGACACAAACTCTAGATCTGTGAATTGCCAGGAAGACATCCATGCTTCACTCCAAGCTCAGCTCTTCCTGTGCCATTCCCATCCTCATGATTTGCTTTCCATATTATTATTTAGACTCAGAAGTCTAAATAAGATGTGTCAGAATCATTCTTGCTTTGGGAGAGGAGTGTCCCAGTACTGGGGAGGCAGAGGCAGGCAGGTGTCTGACTTTAAGAGCAACCTGTGTACTTACTGCATGTGTGAAGGTGCCCTCTGAGGCCAGAAGAATGGTCCACTGGAACTGGAATTAGGAGTGGTTGTGAGTCACCTGATGGGAGTGCTGGGAACTGCGCTCAGTTCCTCTAGAAGAGCAATCACTGCTCTTAACCACTAAGCCGCCTCAACCATCCTCAGGGGTTTGTTTGTTTATTTTTGTTTTGTTTTTGAGACAGTCTCATTGTGTAGTCTGGCTGGTTTGGAACTCCTATCTAGACTACACTGGCCCCCCAACTTGGAGAGATCTGCCTGCCTCTAGAGCACTGGGATCAAAGGCGTGGGCCACTATGCCAGGCAACTTGGAATTGTTAATGCTTTGTGTTCTTTAGTGTTAGAGAGCTACGTTTGAACTTTTTGAAACTTATTTCTTTCTAGATGCCATCCTTTTTTGTTTGCTTGTTTGTTTGTTTGTTTGTTTGAAGCAGGGTTTCTCTGTGTAGCCCTGGGTGCCTTGGGGAACTCACTCTGTAAACTGGGCTGGCCTCAAACTCAGAGCTCTGCCTGGCTCTGCCTCTCCAGAGCTGGGATTAAAGGCATAGATCACCACCCTGCTTCTAGATGCCATTCTCGTAACTCAGTGAATGGCCAGGTGTTCGAAAATGTTGCTCCAATTACGTCTTCTTTTTGACACTGGCCTTAGCAGTGGATCTGTGATTTCCTCATTATGATAAAGATTTCCTGGGCTGCTCAGTGACAGATCCTTAGAGTCTAGCCTGTTTCTGGTGGGTAGTCTAATACTCCTGGACCATATTTCCCATGTGCCAGAATTGCTGGGGTTTTTTAAATTTTTATTTGTATGTATGTATGTATGTATGTATGTGCACATATATGGCTATGCAAGTATGGGTGCCTGTGAAGGCCAGAAGGCATTGATTGTGGTATACACCCCTTAATCCTAGCACTTGGGAGGCAGAGGCAGGCAGATAGATCTCTCTTAGTTAGAGGTTAGCCTGGTCTACTTATCAAGTTCCAGACTAGCCAAGGCTGCATAGCAAGACCTTGTCTCAATAAACAAACAAAACAAATATATAGTTATTTTTTTCTTGTTTGGATTCTCTTCCATTCCACAACAGAATGTTGATTGTCCAAATTAAAATATTTTTAAGACTTAATTATTCTACTTTATACATATGAGTATTTTGTCCACATATATGTCTGTGGAAAATGTGTATGCCTGGTGTCTGAGGAGGTCAGAAGAAGGTGTCATTTACATCAGGTAGAATCAAAAGTTTGTTGTCATCTTTTTTTTTCCTTTGATATTTTATTTATTTACATTTCAGATGTCATCCCCTTTCCCCATCCCCCCCCCATTAACCCTCTATCCCATTCCCTCCTCCTCCTTTTTTGCCTTTATGCTGTTTAAATTACATGCAAGTAGTCAGGTCAGTTCTAGGTTGAGGAACTAGCAATGCAATAGATGCAAATAGTCAAGGAACAAGCAAGACGATAAACCCAGATAGTCAAAGAACAAGGAGGACAATAAACAGAGTCTCTGTGATCACTCCTGTGATCACTATTTCTAATGGCTTATCAGGATGACCAAAATATCTGAGCCTACTTCCCTGTCCTAGCCCAAAGTCATTTTCATGCCTGAAGCCTACTTCTTTGTTCTAGCTTAAGATTTATATTCCTGCCTGAAATTACTTCTTTGTTCTAATCTAATGTCAGATTCCTGCAGTTCATTTTCTTGTCCTTGGCCAATGTCAGATTCCTTCCAAGCAGCCCATTTCCTTGTCCTTGGCCAATGTCAGCATCCTGCCAGGTAGCCCCAAAAGCTCTCTATATCTCTTCATTTTTTATTGCATAAACCAGACTGAGCCTGTCTTAGGTGGTTCTGACAAGAATGCCTTCCTTATCCATCGTGGAATGTGCATTATCAAAAGCAATGCACTTCTGTCTTAGGTTGGTAAGGCTCTCAGAATCTTACCCATCCTTGGCTTGCCAGCCTGTTAAATTAATAACTCTGTCTACGAGTCCATTTTCAGTTTCAAGTCATGTACTTTGGCTGCCAACATGTTGATATTGTTAAAGACAAGCTTTAACACAATGGGCAGGAATAAAAGTATTCCCAGGACAAAAAGGGCTAGCATGATCAAGCTATATATGCCATTCTTGAGGTTTGACCAAAATGGAAATACTGACCTCAAGCCATAGATAATTTTATCAGTATTATCTGCAGCATCAAAGCTCAGCAGAGCAGCATTCTTTAAATTCATAATCTCACTATGCAAAGTTAAAGCAGCTAGAGAGGTGTTAGAATAATGCCAAATACCTTACAATTGTCTTTAAACTTTTTTTCCTGGTTATAATGACTATCACTGTAAATTTTAGAAGTAGCATAACTCCAATGGTATTTGGCATGACACTCAAGATGGCTCCTAACTCTTAACCTCTGAACCTCCTTCTGATAATTTGAATAGGATATAGAGCATTGATCCATTGTTTCACACACCTACATAAATCCTCTAGTATAATCAACACATTAGTAACATTTTTTTGCTAAATGATAAACACAAGTATCTGTCATAAATTCTGTGTCAAAGCCATTGCAGAAGCAGTGGTGCTAGCAATTGATGTAATTAAAGCTGTTATACCAGCAATAATCACGCCCACTACTCTCTTGCTTCTGCTTAAAGCCTAACTCACTTCTTCCAGCACTTGCAAGCTTTTTTCAGAAAATCAAAGTTTTCTAATACTCAGGGCAGTAAAACAAAAGCTGGATCCCTACAACAGACATGCCAGGTTTCAACACACTAACACAATTAGAAAGTATACAGTCAGTGCAACTTACACTAAATACTGTAGAAGAGACAAAAGTAATTTTAACTTGACAATTAAAAGAGCCTTGCCGGGAGGTGGTGGCCCATGCCTTTAATCCCAGCACTTGGGAGGCAGAGGCAGGCGGATTTCTGAGTTCAAGGCCAACCTGGTCTACAGAGTGAGTTTCAGGACAGCCAGAGCTACACAGAGAAACCCTGTCTCAAAAAAAAACAAAAACAAACAAACAAACAAACAAAAAGAGCCTTAACACATGCACTAACACTCGTTTGAAATCCAGATCCTGTCCCAACTTTATCTCTTTATTTCTAATATTGGATTGATTTCTAGACCAGTACATGATTGAGTCTGAATAACTGGTCACCTTTAAGAAAAATACAACTGTCATTATTATTCTCTTTTTGATTCTCTGTCCCACAAGGTCTAAAAACTTGAGGCAAGGCAACTTGTCCCATCTGG